ATATATATATATATATATATATATATATATATATATATATATATATATATATATATATATATATATATATATTCTGTATGTTATATAAAAAATTATACAAATTTCATATACTTTTTCGGGTATCGAATGCAAATAGTTTCTAACGCATGCTAAAAATGATAATACCCCTAAAATTTATGGATTTTATATTTTAAACTGATGAGTTCTGAATGAAGTTTAAGTATTCTAAAGTTTATTTTATATATATATATATATATATATATATATATATCAATAAATATACACCGTCTATACCAAAATTACTAAGTCCTACCAAACCCATACTTCTTATGCTTGCTCCCAGAGTTTAATCACCCCAATTATGAACAAGTTGTTTGACTTTGATGGGAAACTGCAGACAAAGAAACAACACATATTCAAAGGTTCACGTGTAGGTCTTAACTAATGTACTTATAAAGAATGGTCTCCTAGTCAGATTCGTGGCCAATGTCCAAGGAACATTCGTGGTAGTTTGGTTAGGATAAATAATCTCAACATAAATTTTTATGTATAAATGATTATAAGATATTTGGTTAGAGTGATCAGGAAAAATAATCATTATATAAACAATGCGCTGTTTGATTGGCGTATTAAATAATATTTACATAATTTGTGTGGAAATCCAGATAATATAAAAATATATTTCAATAATAATTTTTTCCATAATATTTTCTGTATTTTTATTCAATCTCGTAACAATTTTTACATTATCATTTTTTCATTTAAATTTTCTTTTATGAGTATTATTCAACACATAGAAATCTCCTTGAATGAAGGAAAAAAGACACCAAAATAGACCAGTTATAACCTGCTATTCTCTGGAAAATGTGGACCCACCACAAATAATACTAGAAGAACATAGTCTAACAGCCAACTTTCAATTTATATATTCCAAATTAATTTCTCATACATAACTAATTAGTTGCATGTGAAATTAGTGGGGTCTGTTTAATCATCTAATGACATTTGAAAACCTAATCAAATAGCACTTTAGCTCTATCCCAGGAGTCCACTACTAATTATATGATGTATTAATTAGAGAAACGTATATAATTTCTGTTAAAAGCCAAGCAGCCACAGACGAAAAAAAAAAGAAGAAAATTGTTACCATATAATTATAGGGCTTTTGTGAGGTAATGAAATGCTAGAGCATGTTTGACTGTTATTGCATAATTTTGTACTGTATGCACTTTATTTTACACAAGCAATTGATCTTATAAATGACGTGTTTAAGACATGTTTTTTTTTTTTCCCTTTTTTATTTGGGCGGAGGGCGGATGGTGGATGGCGGAGGGCTATGAGATTTTAAATTATCAGACCAGACAAATTAGCTTATGCGGCAATAACTATGATAGCATGCATATTACACAGGATCAAATCTAGGATTCTATATGGTGGTATCCATATTATAATTTACGAATTTACGAAATCTAATAACTTTTCAAATCGTATATAATAAAATATTTATCAAATACTTTAACCATTTAAGGCGCTGATATTTAACTATGAAATTAGTTATTATAGTATATTAATTTTAGGTTGCACGAGAAACTCATAAACTTCCAATCGTAAATCCACCAGTTTCGAATATGAGATGATTCAGACATGTTAAACGGATAAGCATAGAAGTCCCGGTTAGGACTTGTGAGAGGTTAGCCTTAATGGGTATGAGGAGGGGTAGAGGTAGGTCCTAAGAAGTCTTGGGGAGAGGTGATTAGACGGGACATGACGCAACTGGAGCTTACTAAGGACATGACCCTTGATATGAGGGTGTGGAGGTCGAGGATTAGGGTAGAAGGTTAGTAGGTAGTCGAGCATTTCTCTTTGTCTTTCTTTGTTTGATAACATTAGTGTTAATTTGATATACCTTTATTATTACCTACCGTTTAGTCGCACAGGTCTACTTTTTTTTTTTTTTTACTTTTTCTTTAGCCGAGGGTTTATCGGAAACTACCTCTCTTTCCTTTCAAGATAGAGGTAAAGCTACATACATTCTATCCTTTTCAGATTCCGCTTATAAAAATTTACTGGGTTTGTTATGGTTTGTTTGTAAAGAACCCACTCTGGCAAAAACTCAAAGCCAAAGGGGTTGTTGGTGCCTTTGGTAGGGGTTGGTGAGACTTTTATAAAGGGAACTTGACTGTTGGAGCCCTTGAAAGGGGTATATGCTTTGTTCTGAGATGCTAAATTAGTTCATTAACGATAACAATTTGTGTTGAGACCACCAAATAGGCCAAGCCACAATTGGCTGTCCTTTCCCTAAGATCCACATTTTTCATGTGCTTTTTTCTTTCTTTATCCCGAGATTTGAAAATAAAATAAATTAAATTAGAGAAAGAGGCTGGCTAAGCTAAACCAATCATGCACATGCATCTCTATTTTACTATTATTAAAGGTATGAATAGATTAGAATAGTGAAAGATAACACCAATCGGTGTGATTGAATGTAAAAAATTTCACCTTTAATTAGAGATTTTCATTTCAAATTTTAAATTTTGGGTCATCTTTAAGGAGCTCAAAATCCTTCGTAATTGACCTTTTACTGATTATTTAAATTTCGAACGGTTAAATCAAAAAATTGAAAAAAAAAAGAATAGTGAAAGAGGAGAAGATGTAATGAAAGAGGACTTTTAATATGATTAGAATTATGTAATAAGTGAAATTACAAGTACTAGATTACAACTTTAATTATGTAATTTACAAACTAATACATATCCTATTTAAACTTAACTAAGCAATTTAATTTTAAAAGTCCCAAGTTAAAATAAAAACACACATTAATTAATATGATTAATGATAGACATTCATTTTGAAAATTACATTCCGGTGCGAACACAATATACGAGTAATTGTTTGCTACTATACTATTAGGGGTCGTTTGATATGAGGTATAAGAAGGTATAAGGGTGGTATAAAAATTTAATACCATCTTAATATTCTGTTTGGTTAGTAAATCAAGTATAAATTATCCCGGTGTTAATTTTAACACTGAGATAACTTATACCTTATACGGTGTTAATTTTAACACTGAAATAACTTATATCGTATAAAAGATGGAGTAATTAACATCGGTATAACTTATACCTTCTTCACGAGATTTACATAAATGACTTGTAATTAAATTCGATACCTTTGACCAACTACCCCTTCAACAGCTATTTCTCTAAAAAAAAATAAAAAATAAAAAAAACTAAGTAGATTACACAATATTATTATCAGTAGTAGTATCTCTTTTCGTCCCTCTATATAATGATAAACATTTTTTGAGGTTTCCCCGTCTCAAAGGGAACAAGAGAAACACATTTTCATATTATTGAATCCCTAGTTTCTTTACTTTCCCTTTGATTCCTTCCTCTCAATTACCTCTCTCTTTTCTTCCTTTGTTTGGATGGCCGGCCAAACAATCATCGTTTCCGGGTTGAACCCGGCGGCCATTCTTCAGTCCACAATTGGCGGCGGAGCTTCTCCTACAGCGGCGGCGGCGGCGGAAAACGGCACCAGAAAAGTCATCCCTCTTTCAAGAGATGCCTTACAAGATTTCATGTTATCAATCATAACCCAAAAATTACAAGATGAGAAACAACCTTTTTACGTGTTAGATTTGGGTGAGGTTGTTTATCTTATGGACCAATGGAAATCTGCTCTCCCAAATATCCGTCCATTTTACGCTGTTAAATGTAACCCTGAACCGTCGTTCCTTTCAATTTTATCTGCTATGGGCTCAAATTTTGATTGTGCTAGCCGTGCTGAAATTGAGTGCGTTTTAGCCCTTGGCATTTCACCTGACCGTATTGTTTTTGCAAATCCATGCAAACCGGAATCCGATATTATTTTTGCAGCTAAAGTTGGGGTGAATTTGACAACCTACGATTCCGAAGATGAGGTTTACAAGATCCGAAAGCATCACCCAAAATCCGAACTCTTGCTCCGAATCAAGCCCATGTTCGACGGCAACGCGAGATGTCCAATGGGCCCAAAATACGGCGCGCTTCCAGAAGAAGTCGAACCGCTGCTCCGCGCAGCTCAGGCCGCCCGGCTCACCGTCTCCGGCGTCTCCTTCCACATCGGAAGCGGAGACGCCGATTCGAACGCTTATCTCGGCGCCATAGCCGCGGCTAAGGAAGTGTTTGAAACAGCTGCTAAACTCGGGATGTCGAAAATGACTGTTCTAGACGTCGGCGGCGGGTTTACATCCGGCCACCAGTTCACAACCGCCGCCGCTGCCGTTAAATCAGCTTTAAAACAACGCTTCGATGACGAACCGGAGTTGACAATCATAGCTGAACCGGGTCGGTTTTTTGCAGAGACGGCGTTTACTTTGGCAACGACGATTATAGGGAAAAGAGTGAGGGGTGAATTGAGGGAGTATTGGATTAACGACGGACTGTACGGTTCGATGAACTGTGTACTTTACGACCATGCGACGGTGAATGCAACGCCGTTAGCTGTTCAGTCGAATCGTAGTAACGTCACCTGCGGCGGGTCGAAAACGTTTCCGACGACTGTGTTTGGGCCCACTTGTGATGCTCTTGATACTGTTTTAAGGGATTACCAGTTACCGGAGCTGCAGGTTAATGATTGGCTGGTTTTTCCTAATATGGGCGCTTATACTAAAGCAGCTGGGTCCAATTTTAATGGATTTAATACTTCCGCCATTGTTACTCACCTCGCTTATGCTTATCCAAGCTGATGAACCACCTGTATTAGGAATTACTACCGTGGGTTGATGGTTTTTTCCTTTTTTGGGTATCTTTTTCTTAATTTTGTTGTTTTTGGTAGTAATTTATATTCCAAATCAGCTTGTAATTCTCTTGTATACCATAAGAATGCAAGGATTTGCTAATTGTGATTTGCTCTAATATGGAGGTTTTTAAAATTAGTTATTAGATAATCTGTTTGGATGCACGCTTTTTATTTATACTTTTGTACATTTACAAAAAAAATTGTCCATGCTTTAATATATCGCTTTCTCAAATTTTTCTTAATTAATGAGCTCTCTAACAACAATAACAATAGACCTGTGTGGGAATATAGAGATACAAAGCTAAAATTGAGTATTGTAATCAGAAGACCGAAACGAAAGCAACGACAAGTAATCACATAAATTACTAAAGCTACTGATAGAGACAAGGATAATGCTAGACAACCTATTCCAACTCTTTACCTTTATTCTTATCAGCTCTTTAAGGAACTTGTAATTAATTTATAATAAGCTGAGAAATGGTTGCTAAGAGACGGTAATTGCAGTTTTCAAAATATAAGTTCTTTTACCTAAATTTGGCTGGTCTTTTCCACATGGTGCCATGGAACAAGAATAGAAAATCTTATTGTACTTTGTTATACAATACTATATGTGATAAGTATGCTAGCAGACAAAACATATGCTGGTACATCTATTCTAAAACAACAATAACAACAGCAACAAATCTGGTAATCCCATTAGTAAGATCTGGAAACAGGGGCGGCTCAATAGTATTGGGGGCCTAAAGCCAAACTTCTATAAGAGGCCTTTAATTAATTTTTATAATAAAAAAATTCATATATATTATTTGGTAGAAATATAATTTTCTAGCTTTTTCAGATGCAAAATTATGAATATTTATTTTATAATCAATTTCTTCTAATAGTTAGTTTTCAATTGATAATATAGTTAATCCATTTAGGCCCCGTTTGGCCATGAGTTTTGTCAAAATAAATTTGAGATTTATTTTCAAAACTCGTGTTTGGCCATAAATTTTGCCTATATTTTGGCCAAATCCCAAATCGCAAATTTCAAATCCCAAAATCAGCTATTGAGCTGAATTTGGGCCAAAATCCCAAAACTTGGGAATTATATACATGTTTTTCCAAAATAAAGTTGAAAAATATGTTTTGAAAACGTATGTCCAAACACATTTTCATCTTCAAACCAAACTTTACCCAAATCAGATTTTTCAAAATAAATTTGGGATCTATGGCCAAACGCTAGCTTAATCTCTTGCGCCATGGTTGATCTTAAGTAACATTTTATCAATTTTAATTTAAAAAACTTCTTTCAAATTTCTAGTTTGTGATCGAGGACGACCCGAGACAAATGTTACAGGAACTGTTACCATTATTCTATATGCAATATATGCATTTGAAAAAGAATCAAGTCCTTATATTGGACTGAGTATATCAATTTGAATAATCGAATTCATACTTTATATTTGGCATATTTAAATTTGAATAAATACTAAAAGGATAATATATGCATACGTATTTGTCATGACCCGGATTTCCCACCCTCGGGAGTCGTGATGGCGCCTACTCGTGAAAGCTAGGCAAGCCAACTATTAAGTTCTACACGTTAACAATCAACCCAAACAATTATAAACAGTAACTATAACTAAACAATTGAAAAGCACAGAAGAGTTAAAATAAATCCAAATACTCCAATACATGTCTACCCACGAATCTGGTGTCACAAATTCACGAACGGCTAAGATTTTTTACTACAAATATAAGTCTGGAAAGAAAAGTACAACTGTTCTCGGAATGATAAGAGACAGTAGAAAAGCTAAACAGGGAAGGGGGACTTTAGGCTCTGCGGACGCCAACAGATCTACCTTGGTCTCCCTGGACTGAGGACAGCTACCTCAGCTACTCACTAGGTCCGGTACCGAAATCTGCACAAAAGAGTGCAGAGTGTAGCATCAGTACAACCGACCCCATGTACTGAGTAAGTGTCGAGCCTAACCTCGACGAAGTAGTGATGAGGCTAGGACAAGACAATCATATATACCTGTGCAGATAAATCATATACAAGCAGAAACATAATAACAGAAATCAACAGAATAAGGTGGGAAGGGGACATGCTGCGAGAAATATCAGATTCTAACAGTAAACCAATAAGGAAGCATCAATAAGGAATCATAATGAACATCATATATAAATCAACAAGAATAATGGAACGGTAACTCGTGCACGGCATCACCCTTCGTACTTTTACTCTCGTCCTCACCATGTGAATTAACATAAACGGCATGGCATCACCCTTCGTGCATTACCTCTCATAATCATGGCATGGCATCACCATTCGTGCAGTATTCCTCACAATATCGGCACGTCATCACTCTTCGTGCATTAACTGTCAAATCATGGCACAACATCACCCTTCGTGCATTAACACTCATAATATCGGCACGACATCACCCTTCGTGCTTTATACTCTCTCACAATATCATGCACGGCATCACCCTTCGTGCTTTACACTCTTCCTCACCCAAATAACAGAAAAAAATATGTAAAGACAAGGGAATCGACAATATCAACAATAGTACCCCGACAAGGGAATCAACAATATCAACAATAATATCCCGACAAGGGAATCAACAATATCAACAAAACGTCCCGACAAGGGATTCAGCTATAACCAATCTCGTTTCAACAATTTCTTTACACAATGAAACTTCAATTTAAGTCAATACTCAACAATAGTCAATTATCAAGAAACTTTCATAAGCTTTATTCAACATTAATAATCATCAATTTGAGCACGATCGATACATAATAGAGTCACAACAATCATGGTATAAGACTCACGGGCATGCTTGACACCAACGTATAGATACTCGTCACCACACCTATACGTCGTACTCGATACTAACACATAGAAAATAGACCACAACTTTTATTCCCTCAAGCTAAGGTTAGGCCAAACACTTACCTCGATTCCACGAACAAGATTAAGCCTCAACTACCGCTTTACCCTCGGTTCCACTTCCAATACGCTTGTATCTAGTCACAATTTACTTAACGATATCAAAAAAATGCCAAATAAACCAATTCTAATGCATGATAATAGGTTTCCCATTGTTTTCCCCAAAAAGTCAAAAATCGACCCCGGGCCCGCTTGGTCAAAACCCGAAGTTCGAACCAAAATTCGATCACTCATTCACTCACGAACTCAAATATGTAATTAGTTTTGAAATCAGACCTCAAATTGAGGTCCAAATCCCCAAAATTTGAAAATCCTAACTTCTACCCAAAAACCACCCAATTTCCCATGAAAAACCCTTGATTTTGAAATGAAATCATGTAAAAAGATGTTATAGATTGAAGAAAATAAGTTAGAAATCGTTTACCTATGATTTGGGGAAGAACTCTCTTCAAGAAAATCGCCTATGTGATGTTTAGGTTTTGAAAAGTTATAAAAATGAAGAAGAATCTCGTCAAAAATCCCACTTACAGGTCTCAGATGTCGCAATTGCGAACTCTTTGAGAATCTGCTGCCTTCGCAATTGCGAATAAATTGTCGCATTTGCGACAGCTGGGGACTTACTGAGGTCTTCGCATTTGCACAGAAATGCTCGCAAATGCGAGCAAGACTGTCCAGGGCTTATTTCGCAATTGCGATCAGCCCTTCGCAATTACCATACTAGCAGACTTCGCAATTGCGATCCCTGATCTCGCTATTGCGAGATCAGAGGCCAATACTAGGACTAAAACCTGCAACCATTTTCCTAAGTCCAAATTCATTCCGTAGCCTATCCAAAACTCACCCGAGCCCTCGGGGCTCCAAACCAAACATGCACGCAAGTCTAAAAATATCATACAGACTTGCTCGTGCGATTAAATCATCAAAGTAACATCAACAACTACGAATTTAACCTCAAATTCATGAAATTCTTCAAGAACATTGAAATTTCCATTTTCTCAACTAAAGGTTCGATTTGTACCAAATCAACTCCAATTCTTACCAAATTTTATAGATTCGACTTATTTATTATTTTAAACCTATACCGGGTTCCAGAACCAACATACGAGCCCGATAACGTCAAGAACACGCATCATTTCATTTCAAAAAGCCGTTATATTTTCAAGCAAATAATTTTCTTTAAAAATTCTTTCTCGTCCTTGGGACCTCAGAATTCGATTCCGGGAATACGCCCAAGTCCCATATTTTACTTACGGACCCTACGGGACCGTCGGATCACGGGTCCTGGTCCGTTTACCAAGAATGTTGACCAAAGTCAACTTTAATCAATTTAAAAGGCCAAGTTCATTATTTTTCTAAAATTTCACATAAAAGCTTTCAGGAAACGTGTCTGGACTGCGCGCGCAAATCGAGTTAAGACAAAAAGAGGTTTTTAAGGCCTCGAAACACAATTTGACTTCTAAAACAAGAGATGACCTTTAAGGTCATCACATTCTCCACCTCTAAAACAACCGTTCGTCCTCAAACGGACATTGAAAAGTACTAGAGTCGGTGAAAAGATGAGGATATCGGCTCCGCATATCGGACTTGGACTCCCAGGTCACTGCCTCAATAGGCTGACCTCTCCACTGCACACGAACTGAAGGGAAATTCTTCGATCTCAATTGACGAACCTGCCAGTCTAGAATGGTTACCATCTCCTCCTCATAGGTCAAGTCCTTATCCAACTGGACAGTGCTGAAGTCTAACACGTGGGATGGATCGCCGTGATACTTCCGAATCATGGACACACGAAACACTGGATGCACTGCTGATAAACTCGGTGGCAATGCAAGTCTATAAGCCACCTCTCCCACTCGATCGAGAATCTTAAAAGGACCGATGAATCTAGGGCTTAGCTTGCCCTTCTTCCCAAATCTCATCACGCCCTTCATGGGCGACACCCGAAGCAACACTCGCTCTCCGACCATGAATGCCACATCACGAACCTTACGATCGGCATAACTCTTTTGCCTGGACTGAGCTGTACGAAGCCTATCCTGAATGATCTTAACCTTGTCCAAGGCATCCTGTACCAAATCCATACCCAACAACCGAGCCTCTCCCGGATCAAACCACCCAATTGGCGATCGACATCGTCTACCATATAATGCTTCATAGGGGGCCATCTCGATGCTCGACTGATAATTGTTATTGTAGGCAAACTCTGCTAATGGCAAGAACTG